AAAAAAAAAAAGAGGCAGAAAAACTTTGCTTAGAACGTCTACAAAGTCTAAAAATAAAAAGTAGCAATTATTCAAAAGAATAAGCCTATGACATTCAAGTCTTCCATGGCTAAAAATACTTCAGTCATGAACTGGCAGCATTTTTTCCCCAAGTGCCAGAATTAAGCAGAACTATTGAACCACTGAGAAAAGTGGTATCCTAGAGCTGGGAGGTTATTTCCAGATATTGCTCCACAAATCATTTCAGGAAACGAATAACTAGGTACTGTTAATTGGCATCACCTTTCAGTACCGCTTTTTGGTAGATGTTTCTTAAGGTGGCTGGGGAACACCGCGTACATCAGGGGGCTGAGCTCATTTGGTGTCTCCTACCCGTAACTTCACTTTTACCTTGTTCATGTCCACCCAGATCAAAAGTTGTAAAGGTCATTCCAGCAATCGTCAGCTCCTCTGATGCTGAAAAGTACAAATACAGGCTGTGTTTCAGGAAAGTAACGAAGCTGTCACAGAGTTTCCTGGGGACTTGTGTTAACACCACACACTCTCCCCATATGAGATATCCGGTAGAATTCAGGAATTCCCTGCTGTTTCCCACACAGAATTCAGCCACTCTAATGGAATCATTTCACAAAGTCATGAGCAGGAGAAAATAATTTCTCCCACTTCCCTACTTATGCACACGCTTTCTAATCTGCAATTATTACGCTTTATTACACTTTTCTAGAAACCCACTCCCTCCCCAAGAGAGGCATGTCATAATAGCTGAGCCATGCCAATTCTCAGGCTCCTCGTTTTATACTTGAGAGGAAAATGCAAATCCACTTCAGCTCAGGCAACCAACATGCAACTGCAACTTCAGATAGCGGTTTAAGACTCTTGAAGCCTGTCTCCCCAGTGCAGAGCTACTGCTGAGGCACCTTGCAGCACCGCCTCTCCATTGTTAAAGAGGAAAACCTGCATGACAAGGCAAGGGGGGCTCCATAGCTGGCAGACTTACTGGGATGTAGCGTTGGGACATGCTGACCCAGCCTGTCATCTTTGAGCATGTGCAGCAGAGTGGTTTTGCCTGCATTATCCAAGCCTAGGAACACCAGTTTTCCAGACTTCTTGTACAAACCTGGAAGGAAAACAAGCAAGAAACACTCCAGCTTGATGCTATTTGCATACAAACCCCTCTCCCAGGGCTATGCTGTCTCCTGTGCACGTAGAAGACGCAGAACAGCAGCGAAAAAAAAACCATATAGCTTGAATTGGCTTTTACCAGGGAAGCGCATGGTCATGTCTACAACCACAGATGCTTTCCGAGCTTGTAATTCTGTGAGTAATGTGTTCTTTCCTCAGATACCCCCTAACAGAAGAGTGTGCAACAAAGTACTACTTATGTGCAACTGTTATGGATGAATATGTCACCCCAAAGGGATACTTAAATGTGAAAATTAAACAAGCTCGTAAAAGACAACAGCAAGTTGTTGAAGAAACATTGCAAAGTGTGAAACAAGAAGTCATTTTCTTTAGATAAACTGATTTTTTTTTTTTTGTCCACTTCCAGGTATGCATCTGCCACAGCAAAGTTCTCTGAGATTTCCAGCAGGACTTTCTCTCATCCCTCACTATCCCTGTGAGGTGCTCTGGACAGACAGCACCCTATCCTTTGGCAAGGACCTCTGCTGGAATTCACAACTCTGGCAGGAGGAGCTTCTCCATCACCTGCAGCCCAGGAAAGGACTGTTCATGCCACAGTGCAGCAGCTAGCCCAGCTGCGCTGGTCACTCTGGGTTGGGCAATGTTTTGGCCAGCACCTTCACAAAGAGCCTTCAACCTGGATCACCCGCATGAGTCAGTGGCCAGCAGCTCCCCAGGGGCATGTCACAGCACTGGTAGCTTGGTGCGGGAAGTGATCATTTGAGGAGAAGCAAGCCAGAGAACTGCAGCAGTAACAAATAAGGGCAAGCTCTGGTGGAGCTGGTGAGCTCGGATACCAGGAGGAGGAAGACAGGGTTCCCTCCCTGGCTAGACAGCATATCTGCCTGGGGCAGGGCCCTGGGCTACACAGGGCCTTGGCATCAGCCCAGCTGCTCTCGCATTTTTAAATGGCGAAAGAAGGATCGAGTGGGAGGCCAACACCTCTGAATATTCTGAAAGTTTCTCCCCCTAGTGTAAAATAGCCTTTGTCGATTTGCAGCTTTCTCATCAGACTTCATACTAGCAAGACCTATTGCACTCCAAAATAAACATACCCTAATCACCAGCTCTTAAGTGATTCTGGCAA